TTTCCATTTTCATATTAATCTTTAAGTTTTTTTCGATTGGCAAATGAAGAACAGTTTCTTAGAGCAACCAGTATCGTCCAGCAAAAATATGTTGTTGTTGATCCAAATCTGCAAGCAATGTGAGATTCCATAACCATTGTTCGGTTCACCCTGATGCCATCTTGAAGATAGAACCGGTTTCCGGTTTCATCCAATAAATTGACTACATCCTTCATCGCTCCAGCTGTCCAGATCATCAGACCATTCCTATATTCCACTGCAAAGTCAACTTGCAGATACAAATTTCATTTGGAAATGAATAACAACTTACTTTTCTCCTTGACGAGCGTATGAATTTTATCGAACTCCTCAACGGAATCAATGCTCAACAATTCCATGCCCATTTTTCTGCAATTCATAAAGGCGTTGAACCATGACGCCTGCACAAAAAGAATGTTTAAAAAAAAATAAAAACAAAATTCAAATTTAATCACCTTATAGAAAGTTTCGAAATAATAGAGTTTATCAATCACGTAAGTCGGAGCCGAGAAACTGCAAAACGCAACCAAGAAAATCACCAACAATTTCAGATTCATCTTCGCAGCAACACTGAAAAAATATGCGAATACTGCAGCGCTTTATATACAGAGAAAAAATCCGAGAAATAAATTTGTTGGTACATAAATAATCTTGAAGTCCCACAGGTCAACAATTATGTATTATGTAATAATTATTTATTACGCAACATATTCTATTATTAGCAGGAATAAAGAAATTCTCAAATCATTTTTTGTAAATTATTTATTTGTTAAAGGTAACATTAGTATAACACAATTACTTCTAATTTAGTAACGCAACGTTTAATAACAACAAAAATATCCCAAATTATCTGTATATTCACAAGTCAAGGCCAACAAAGATATAAACATATCTTTAAATATTGACAAATTAACATTTATATAATTAATTCGATTATAATGTAAAGCTAGTGATGACCATTTGGCTAGAAAAAATGCTTTTTATCTGTAATTACTTTAACGTTTCTTTTATGACATTTTGGTCAACTGCTTTAAAGGGCTATTGGCCATAGATCTTTCTGCTCTGATTTTTTTTTTTATTATTAAACTGTCATAAAAGAAGCGTTACCATTTAGTATGTAAATAACTTTGAAATGAAACAATGTAATTGTATGCTTTTGTCATATAAAGTTGACTTCATCTTTTCAATATTTTAGTGGTCAAATGATTATCATAAATTAATATTAAGATATTAACTTGTCAATGTTTTCACAGAACAACGACTATCATCTCGGAATATTCCATTTGTTTTTTTGTTGTTATTGTTGCGTTAAGAAGTAATTGTTTTATATTAATGTTACCTTTATCTGATAAATAATTTACAAAAAAAAACGATTTGAGTATTTATTTATTCGTGCCAATAATAGAATATGTTGCGTAATAAATAATTATTACATATATCTGTTGACCTGTGAGGACTTCAAGATTATTTACGTGACAACGAATTTAATCTCGGGTTTTTTCTCTGTATATAATGCGCTGCAGTATTCGCATATTTTTTCAGTGTTGCTACGAAGATGAATCTGAAACTGTTACTGATTTTATTGCTTGCCTTGTGCGGCTCCTCGGTTTCAATTTGCATGAAGAATAGTACGGATATGTTTGAGTACAAAGACAAATTGTATTATTTTGAAACTTTCTACAAGGTGATTGAATCTCTTTTTTCTTCGTTGTTGCTTGGTTTTATAATGTTTCTGTTGCAGGCTACATGGTTCAAGGCAGCTTTGGCTTGCAGAAGAATGGGTATGGAATTGGTGAGCTTTGACTCTGATGAGGAGTTCGATAAAGTTCATGAGTTCGTCAAGAAGAAAAGTAAGTCGTCTCTCATTTCCAAGTGAGCTTTGCATCTTTAAATTTACTTTGTAGGTCAATATAAGTTTACTGATCTGTCCATCTTTACGTCGGGAGTAATGAAGGATATAGGCCAATTCCATTGGATTAATACCGGAAATCCGATGAATGTATCGAGATGGTGGTCGGGCACACCGGACAATAAAGGTGGAAACGAGTTCTGCGTCAACATTTGGTCTAATAGTAAACAATTTCTGCTGAACGATGCCTCCTGCACATGGTTATCGTATTTTATATGTGAATCAAGAAAAGCTTAAATAACAAAAACTAGAAATTTTGAAATATTGTCGAGAGAGAAAAAATGCATTTCTTCTATTAATAAATATTTTACACTATTTCTTTTTTTTTTTTTCAATTTTCAATAAATTGAATTGAAACATTTTTCAGATTCTGTTTTCTAAATTCTGTAGTATTATTTTGAACATATGTTCATTGAATTATAAAGTAGACACGTTGTGATTAATTATGGATGCCGCCTCGGATGTGCCTGACCTTTTTCAAAACTTTCTTCAAGACATTTAGCACAATTTCAGAAGAAGAAAAAACACGCATGATCTTTGTTTTCAGTTCAGAAATTGTTTTGTGGTTTGGTAGCAATGTGTCAAGTCACAAGATCTGGGTCACAAATCGAAGGATTCTACTAGTTTTACATTATTGTCGAATAAATTATATGAGCCGTTTATTTTGAAACTGGCTTAAGTCCATTAAGTTCATCTTTTATCAAGTTGGCACTTGTGACATTTACAATTTATGCTGAACTGTCAAAAAAAAAATCGGTATTGAAATATACTTAGTACATTTGAAAATTTTATATCACGTACATTTTCAAAATAATATAAATACTGAAAATCCTAATTTTGAAAGTGACCTAAGTCCACTTTTTATTGACGATGTCAAAAAGTGCGGCCTAAAATGTTGAAATGTTGCAGTGATGAAGGTAATTTAAATTACGTTTTGATATTAAATTGAAATTTAAAAAATAATATTTAATTTAAAGAAATTATTAAACCCATGGGAAAGGATAAAATAACAAGATTTCTTGATTCTGAAAGTGAAGAGGAATTAAACTCATACAACAGATTTAAAAAAAAGAAGGAGAATTTTAGAAGTTCATTCTTCAACAGAGGAAGAGGATAATTGAGAATGAGAATTTAACAAAACAGCACCTTATCAAAGAAGGATTCAGAGAACACAGAAGTGGTACTTATATTCAGAAAATTCGTAAAATTAAACGGAATTCAGGGAAAAGATACGAATACACAATCGGGAAAAAATATTCCTGCCAAAGTTTTTTGAAAATGAAGATTGCCAATGCCGAAAAGACTGCTTGAAAAATTTAAATGAAACAGAAAGAAAACGTATTTTCGAAATGTTTTGGAACTTAGGAGACTTTAGTAATACGAATAACTTATTACTAAATTTATTTCTATTATCTAAAAATATAATTTAAATGTTTTTTTTTTTCTATTTTT